CCCCCAGTGTCCTCTTTTTTGTTTGTGGAAATATGGTAACCCTAAGCTATGCCAGCACTTAGGAAATACAAGTTGTATCAGGGCCCTGTTGTTAATGTTACTGTCTCTACAAGGATTCTTCATGCCACAAATTTTCTGTGCATTGTAATGGCGAAAGGAGTGGTACTTCCTTTCAAGAGCATGACACGTAGAAATCGAAGGCAATAGAAAGAGAAAACTTCATCCACTCCATAATTCCTATGAAATGTCTAGTGAATATTCTGAGTGAACTGCATGTTCATTCTGTATTTATTCAGCTAAATGGGTACTGAAATATAATTGATTCAAACAGGCCTAAATTAACACAGAAAGGCTGACAGAGCTATGTCTCAGGGTCTTGACCTCTGATAATAGCACTGAATGCTAGCTGAAGGCCCATTCTATGATGGGGTGTAAGCTACAAATTTGGTATTATGCTTGTCCAGTTGTACCGCTCCACTTCTGTGGTCGGGCTGTCTGGTTTTTGTCATACTGTACCATTCCATTTCCTCAGCACTGGTTATTCTCAACTCATATAATGTCAAGGAAATGAAAATTCCAGGCCAAATGGTCCAGTGGTACAAGTGGATTACACTCCATAAAAGTCAGTAGTGTAGCACCCATGTACACAAACACACAATTTGGCCTTCCATCTGCTTTTGCCAAACGAATCAGTGAAATATGGAAATCAGCAGATTATAACTTGCCAGCCATCTGTGCCTGGCTAAGGAAACCTGTGTTCAAGCACGTTGCACAAAATTACATGAATTGTTTACCCAGTAGGAAATTGGCATGTTCATAGAAGATTAGGGGTGAAAGAGACCTCAGGAGGTCATCTAGTCCAATCCCCCACTCAAAGCAGGGCCAACCCCAACTAAATCATCCCTGCCAGGGCTTTGTCAAATCTCTAAAGATAGAGATTCCACCACCTCCCTAGGTAACCCATTCTAGCGTTTCACAACCCTCCTAGTGAAATAGTGTTTCCTGATATCCAACCTAAACCTCCCCCACTGCAACTTGAGACCATTGCTTCTTGTTCTGTCATCTGCCACCACTGAGAACAGCCGAGCTCCATCCTCTTTGGAACCCCCCTTCAGGTAGTTGAAGGCTACTATCAAATTTCCCCTCACTCTTCTCTTCTGCAGAGTAAACAAGCCCAGTTCCCTCAACCTCTCCTCATAGGTCAGGTGCCCCAGCCCCCCGATCACTTTCATGATCTATATATTGGTCCTTCATGTGGGTCCCTACATGAGTGATTGCAGTAGACTAGCCATGTGGGTGTCTGGTGAGATCTATCAGACAAAATGGTCTCTTTGTTAGCTGATGATGAAAGAAAATATTTCCAGATGTTTTTGCTACCTGGGAAACTGGGAGCCGTCTTGTATGACCCTGAGACTAAAAACTACAACAGACGCATTCAAAGGAGTAGTTAATATCTCACCCTCTGAGCAGAATTTATTTCCCTGACAAACAGCACCACCTACGCTTTATCTGGACTCAGCTGAGCCAGCTGGCTTTTGTTCAGATCCTCACCTATTCTTAGGAAATCAGGAAACAGAGGTAAAGCAGATATGGAGCTTAGTGTCTTCAACATACTGGTGACACCATGGCTCTAAATATCAAGCAACCTTGCACAGGGCCCTCCCTCAAACATTGAACAAGAGCTGGGGGTGACAGATCTGAAAGTAGATGTCCAACACCATCCTCTGGTGTCTTCCCAGGTGAATAAGAATAACCACATGCCAGCAATTCATGAACTCCTTTCATTTAGCCTATGGCACATCCAGATGAGTTCAGCAGGCAAGAACATCTCAGTAGGCAGCCAGATGGCTAAGAATAGTATAACTGTGCTCAATACTCTAAGGCAGATTCTGTTTAAAGGTCTCCAAAGGATCTGCAATCAATTACATTTCACAATACCCCTCTGAAGTAAGAACTGGCCCCAACCTTCTCCACCTGGAGCTGTCCCTGAAATCTTTGAGATATGCTATCTCCATTGAGCCTATACCCTTTGAATGAGATGTAATGTCTGTGATCCCAGGGCTCCTGGAAGTCCTGCCTGAGACATAAAGCTTCTAGATATCCCATTGGGATGGTGCATCTCCACTATAGCTGGTTGGAAATTTTTAATGAAACATCTTCCCATTCGAAAAGGGCAGATCATTGAAATCGAAATGTTCCACAACAATGTGTTGCTTTTGACAAAACTTGAGACAGAACCGAGGCAGGATTCCTACCTGGCAGGCTGCCACAGACCTGGGGCTTCCAGGGCTTTAGGGCATTCTGGGTCGTGGCTCCTTAGCAGCTCACCCGGTGGGTTGCATGCAGCCAGGGAGCTGGGACTGGACATTTTTTAAAAATTCCAAAACTGATTTTTTTAATGACCATCTTGTGGGAAATTTTGCATATCTGACTTTTCATTCAGATTCAGAAGGAGTTTTTTTTTCAAAAATGCAAAATTTGTTGGCGGGGGGAGGGAAATTCTGTTTCCAGCACAGCTCTAATCTTCATGCCACCAAAAACTCTGGGCTGTGCTTTAATTCCGCAAAGTTAGACCTAGCTAGCAATTTAGAGCTAAGTGAGTTACCTAACAAGTCAATGAAAGTATCAGGGAGAGAACCCAGGAATTCTGATTCAACTGCCCTGGTTCAAACCACAAGACAACGCTCCATGTCAACAGATGAGAATTTGTGGGCACAGGAAAGGGGTAACTGATTAAGTATTGCTCCAGCAGGTTGTAATCCACCACAGAAATGCTCCCCAAATAAGGAAAGGATGTAAACCTACATAAAATTAAACAGGACATTTTTGTTAGGAGATAAACATCTTGAATTCATGCCAGTTTTTAACAAGTTGGGAGCGTCACAGTCTTCCAACAACTTGTGGTTTCCTCTGTCTCCCCTGACACTGATATACTTCACCTTGAAATATCCCTTAAATATGTGTTAACTACATATGCTAAGCAGTCTGTTCCATGTTGTATTTAGCTGTGACACACCAAATAAGTTTCCCAGACTTGAAGAAGAACACTGTGTGAGCTCAAAAGCTTGTCTCTCTCACTGAGGGAAAGAGGTCCAATAAAAGATATTACCTCACCACCTTGTCTCTCTCTCTCTCTCACTCACACACACACACAGATTCAAACATTTCTTAAGGAAGCTTTTCCCCAGTGATTCCCCCCCACTCACCTTGTGAACTTACAAACAGCTCAGCAGTGACTATAACCTGCATTTGCATGGAGCTGCCTGCGGAAAACAATCCACCATTTCTGCCTAATGCTGAAGTACAGCACAAGGTGCTGCTGTTGCATTTTATCAGAGAGTGTGGAAAACAATAGAGCTGAAAGACCTCCAGGTGCAAAAGTCAATTGCTTTACACTCCCTTAACAGCTACTGCATCCTGAGTTACAGCCAAGACTGCTCCATACAAATACTAACCCTGTTTTTGACTAAGCACACACAGGAATCCTTTGGCATGGCATTGAATGAGCTAAGCACTCTGTAGGTATCTGCTGCTCTGAGCAACCAGAGTGAAGGAGGGTGTGCAGCCTCTCCCAGGCACCTGTGGCTGGCAGTGGGCGTGGCTTCCTCTGTAGGCATCAGGTAACACCTGCCTATCCCTCTTGTGTAGCTACAACCTGGGCTTGCAAGGGAATTCGAGCCACAGCCAGGAACAGGTGTCATTCAAGCAACAGCAGCAGTAGCAGAATGAGGAGCGGCTGCTGCTGAGGCAAAGAGAAAGATGGTAGAAAGACGCTTCTCCAAACTCTTCCAGAAAGGGTCACTTTTCCGCTTAGCCCAGAAATACCAGTCAGTTGGGAATGGGGAGCCAGAAGGGGAGGTAAGGATTCCCTATGCCTCTTGCCTGTAAGTTATGAAATGTGGTGTGTAGATGGGGCTAAGCGTACTGTGCGTTGCTGGCAACATTACATCTCTATTAGCTATGGCAGTTTTGCGGTGCTACTTTGTTTTATCGTAAAATGGAGGATAATATTAACGATGACACCGACCTGCCTATTGGGGTTTTGTGTGGGTTAATTAACGTGTGTGCAAGCTGAATAGCTCTACGATAAATCCTAAGTATAAACATTCATTTTCATGTCAAGGCTTCGCTAACTATACTCAGATTTGCAGCATATGTCATTGTGTTGGCACTGACTTTAGGGTCAGACAGATTTAAACAATGCAGGCCTGTATTCTGAGCAGAAAGGCCCAAGGATGTGAATGAGTCTGAACTGCCAAACGAACATTTCTGAAATATACATTTTTTGGTGTCCCCTCTATTTGCCACTGAATGTGAGAGAATGAAATTGTTGGTTTCTGTGGTTTTCCATATGTTCAACTTTCTTGTTTTACATTTTTCCTCTAGCCACGCTGTAAGCTCTCTGGGGCTGTGCCTGCCTCTTATTACTATGGGTTTGTCCAGTGCAATGGTGTTCTGATTTCCATTGAGGTCTCTAGGGTCTATTGTAATAGAATTAATAATAATGACAGGATTGGATATTTTCAAGTAACAAGGGGGGGGGGGTAGCTTAATGGTTTGAGCATTGGCCTGCTAAACCCAGAATTGTGAGTTCAATCCTTGAGCAGACCACTTAGGGATCTGGGGCAAAAAGTCAGTACTTGGTCCTTCTAGTGAAGGCAGGGGGCTAGGCTCGGCTCAATGACCTTTCAGGGTCCCTTCCAGTTCTAGGAGATAGGTATATTTCCATATATTATTATTAAAGTGTGAACCAAATCCTGATCCTTGCCATACTCATGTGAGGTGTTGACCTTTGGACCCATTCACATGGGTAAGAGGAATCTGATTTCATCTTTTCTTCCATACCTGGATAGATTCTTTCTGGTTATAACACTACATTGCTTTCCCTCCTTGGCATTTGCACCTTCCAAATACTTCTGGCAGTTATGTGCCCCTTAATCATCATTTGCCCAAGCTCTGTTTATCACAGATAATATTCTTAATCTTTCTTCAAAAGCTATTCCCTCCAACTCTCTAATCTGCTCTTCATTCCTTCCCATTTGTCATCTTCTTTCTAGTATCAAGTTGGCCAAAACTGTTGGCAGTATTATATGTGTAGCCTCACTAGTGCTACACAGAGAAAGGGAGAGGGAGACCAAGGGCTTGTCTATATTTACCGCGCTGGTTCGGCGGCAGGCAATCGAACTTCTTGGTTCGATTTATCGCGTCTAGTCTGGACACGATAAATCGAACTCAGAAGTGCTCCCCGTCGACTCCGGTAATCCTGCTCGCCGCGAGGAGTACGCGGAGTCGACGGGGGAGCCTGCCTGCCGGGTCTGGACGGCGGTAAATTCGAACTAAGGTACGTCGACTTCAGCTACGTTATTCACATAGCTGAAGTTGCGTACCTTAGTTCGATTTGGGGGTTTAGTGTAGACCAAGCCTAAGACCATCCTCTTTCTGCACCTGTATGTGATGCTATGGCATAAACAGGCCAACTTCACAGAGTAAAATGGAGACATAGCTGGGATGCCAAAAATTATTTCTGATCTTGCTGTGATGTGAGATTAAGATAGCAAAATAATTTCTCTCTTTTGGTAACATGTTAACCCAATAAAGAAGACTGTAGATGCAGTTTTTAAACTCTAGTCCATTGATTTGGCCAATATTCGAGTGAGGGTCCAGTCACTTGTCCACGGTCAGGGAACTATAGTCAGTCAGTAGCTTATTCTGAATTAGAACTTGCAGTCTTCTGGCTTTGCCATTCTCTCTACAGCAGTGTTTCCCAAACTTGGGACACCGCTTGTTTAGGGAAAGCCCCTGGCGGGCCGGGCCAGTTTGTTTACCTGCCGCGTCCGCCGGTTCGGCCGATCGCAGCTCCCAGTGGCCATGGTTCACTGCTCCAGGCCAATGGGAGCTGCTGGAAGCCGTGGCCAGCACATCCCTCAGCCCGCGTCGCTCCCTGCAGCTCCCATTGGCCTGGAGCTGCGAACCGCAGCCAGTGGGAGCCGTGATCGGCCAAACCTGCGGACGCGGCAGGTAAACAAACCAGCCTGGCCCGCCAGGGGCTTTCCCTAAATAAGTGGCGTCCCAAGTTTGGGAAACACTGCTCTACAGCATAGTAAATAATTATGAGTATTTGCTCTCTCTGTGAGCACATGATCTCCTTGAATTCCAGTCTAAGTCTATGCAGAACATGATAGCACTGTAATATGACTCTACAATGTGGACTAGCATGTGAAAAAGGGCGATCCAGTGCATACAGTGTATTTGAACCTTCAGAAAGCCTTTGACCAGGTCCCACGCCAAACGCTCTTAAGCAAAGTAAGCAGTCCTGGGATAAGAGGGCGGGCCCTCTCATGGATCAGTAACTGGTTAAAAGATAGGAAACAAAGGGTAGGAATAAATGATCAGTTTACACAGTGGAGAGAGGAAAATAGCAGGATCTAGATGACCTCCTGAGGTCTCTTCCAATCCTAATCTTTTATGAGTCTATGATGCAGAATTACACAAGATAGTTAAATCCAAAGCTGACTGTGAAGAGTTACAAAGGGATCTCACAAAACTGGGTGACTGGGCAACAAAATGGCAGATGAAATTCAATGTAGATAAATTAGGGTTACCATACGTCCGGATTTTCCCGGACATGTCCGGCTTTTTGGGGTTTCCCCCCGGACGGGGATTTGGAGCC